CCCCCTCGGTTTCTGAAAAATATATCACGCCAATATTCCCCTCTTGAAATTAGAATTTTGACTAGCTAAATAAATCATAGTTCTTAACCGTACCAAAGGCACTGTTTGCTCTTTAAAACACCAAAAATTTTCGGGGCCCTTGAGTAGGCCCCAAACTCCACACCAGTGGGCGACGATCGGCTTCACATCGTCCCGGACCCCCCAATTCAAATAATCCTGGATTTTTAAAATATTGTGACGAATTTTTAGATCTTTATATGTCCATCTGACATGAAATTCCACATAAATGATCACACTAATACACCTTTTACACGGGGGTAGGCGAAGGTGTTAACACTTAGGTCGAGGGGAGCTGGGGGGGGGGGGTCTGGGACGTCCAACACAGGACTAAGTGACCACAAGGGCCCCTAACATGTATGAGTAAAATATCGCAAGGGCAGTGTAGTAGCCAGAGGCCGTGGTTTAAGCCAGATACAACACTCGCCTGCAGCTCGACAATACACTCGTAATATATTTCACGTACAGCTCTGCGACTCGTATTGTATCTATCACATACTAGCCTACTATAAAACAACATCTGTCAACTTTCCTCAATCTGTCAATCACAAATTAAGCACTTGTCAGATTTTTGCGGTATTGACTGTGAAGTCGGCACAAGGGTGGCCAAGACCATTGACATGAGCGCCATCTAGCATCAAATCGAGTTTTGGCTTCTACTAGTTGCGTTTTGACGACTACTAGTCATATTTTGCCGACTGATCTGATAACGATGACGACTAATCGTGTTTTCAATTCGACTAATCTGATAACGACAACGACTAATCGTGTTTTCAATTCGACAAATCTGATAACGATGACGACTTATCGTGTTTTGAATATGACGAATCTGATAACGACGACGACTAATCGTGTTTTGAATTTTTGTATAAACCGCCGCCCATACATGACCACCCACCCACACACACACCCAACTCTGTTATCTGCTGTAAAGAGTGTAATGCACATGACCACATATCATAACAGTCATACAGAGGATGAGTACTAAAACAGTGAGCCCTGGGGAATATTTATTTATTTATTTATTTATTTATTTATGTATTTATTTATTTATGTTAATTCAAAAAACATTTATCTCCATTTTTAGCAGAGATGACTTGTATCTGATCTTGTACATATTTTTCTACCTCAATAACCATGAGAATTGATTATTTTAGACCTACCCAAGAATATAGTGGAGTTAAGAGTGAAGAACTACAACATTGAGGAGTTCCTGGCTGGCCAGGCTTTGAGCAATCTTACCCGGATCATGGCAAAGCTGTGGCCTGAGGCTGGAACCCTGCAAGTGGTGAAGGTGTCTTCTCTTGTTGATGAGCTGGGAAGAGTACCAGTGCCAGATGGACCCATGCAACCACTGCCTAAAGAGGGGTAACAGTGATTGTGTACAGAGTAGAACTGATAGCAGGTCTAATTTGGATATAAAAATGAATTTCCAGCCGATGTTAATGTGTTGAGAAATTTATATATTATGTTGCTTGGAGGTTATGGTTTATTGAAATTATGCTTTATTGTTTTAGAAAAATTTTGAAGAATATTGCATAGCTTAGATTAGAATTTTAAAGTTTCAAATTTCATGCATAGGCATGTGCTAAACACATCCACCGAAACTACCATCTTTTTATTTTTCACATCTTTATTTTCTCCTAAATTGCTTTTGAAATTGATACTATTTAACTTCAATCAGCATATCATAGATTTAGATTCAGGGTCCAAAGGTCTCTTAAACGATAATTGTTATTTGTAATTTCATAGTACAGATTTGTGAATTTATGACTCAAACTGCAATTTCATGGTACATACATAAAAGTAGCTGTTGTCAGCATCATAATAAGAGCAAGCTGCCCAGCTTTCATCTAGGTTTTGTGCTGGGTTCTTTTTTCTCAACTCTGAACTATTTGCAATATGGGACTTCTATGCTCTCAACAATCTCCAGCACACAGGGAATGTATCAGACAGGTTGGTAAGCAGATAAATTGTTCATGGTGTGCATTGCAGTGCTCACAATGACTTTTTTGTTTGTGCCATGAAATCATGGTTTGAGTCCCAATCACAAACCCTAGGCTCGAGATCTCTTGCAGCTATATCATTTGTAAGGCCAAATCTATTTACCAGTTATGACAATAGAGCTCAGTAAACATACCATTTCCAGGGTTTTGGTTCAGATTGGAGGAGCTGGTGATTTCTCTGCACTCCTGGCCAGTGTTAGTCAGCAAGTGAACAACACAAACTGCATGAACCAGGAACAGTTCATTGGAATCCGAGAAGACTTTGAGCCCGAGTTTAACCTTGACTGGTGTGCCTTTAAGATGTTTCCATTAGTAAGTTACAGTTGTCTGAAACTCTATAACATTTGCTTCAAGAAAAATTAACAACTTTATGTTTGACTGCTGTTTTTGAACATGCAAGTTGATTGGAAAAATTGTTGAAACAAATGTTAAAGTGATTTTTCCTAATTTTACTTGAAGTTTTGCACTTGGTTTGAAGCAAGTTGTAAATGTTACTTGACTACATACCTTAATAGTCTGCCATGGACTGGAAGTAATATTATTTCATTTAATTTTCCACTTTTCTGGGTGTTCGTTTGAGAAATAGAGGTCTCTTACTATTGTGTTAGGTTGTTGTGTTAGGTGAGACTGATTGTGAAGACTTCTTGATTGCACCAAGACCATGGTTGTTGCTATGACTCGTAAAGATGATTGTCTGACAAACCCCTTTGGACACCATACCAGTTGTTTTGCACTGTAATGTCAATTCATATTCCATTCATTACATTTTTTTCTTTTTTTTTTTTACTTTGGTCCCAACAGGCTCAGTTATCTGCAAATTTAATGCAGTATTCTTGATAACTAGTAAGACATTGGAATATTTTTGACATGCTATAGATTTATTCTTGTAAGTAGTGATGTATGTCACTGGAATGCTAACTAATGACCATGGTTGTTTTGAATTTTCTTTTCAGAGTACTGATTTGAACATAGGGTTTATCTAAATCTGTTGCAGCAAGATTTGATGTTTATCCATTTTTAATGAGTGTCAGAATTATTTTCACCTATCATAACCCAACTTTCAAATCCATTACTTGCTTGAAAATGGTAGGTTGTGCTGTAACAGCAGTACTGATGAAGCTTTACGTACATCACATATAACACAGCTAGATCAAAGCTATGCACCTGTTACACAATATATTGGATGGGGTATCTTAAATGCCACTAGGTTAATCATACGTTAGAATTTTGTTTGGTTTCAGAGGGAAGGGACATTCTCCTTTTATCTTAGTATGTGGTAGATAGCAGTGAATCTTATACAGATATATCTTTCTCTGATGCATGAAATGGATTGTTGCCTTTAGTAAAAGTCATCACAGGAATTGCCAACAGAACTCTTTAATCATGTTTCGATATTTGCAATATCCTTCTGAAGAAATATTGCATTTTCTTTTAGCAATTTATCCCATTTCTTTTTCCTATGGGTTTTATGTGTGATTTTCATCACCCTCTAAATGTTACTGTTAGTAGAATTTGTTCATTTCTCAAATACATTGTTGAAAATGTTCTGAACATTTCATAAATGTTCCTGTAGGGTTGGGTCCTCTGCATCCAACTGATGATTAAAGTGAATCACCTGCCGGCTCAGCACGTTAGTGTGCATTTTCCACATAGGAAGACATGTTTTATTGATTGTGGTGATTTTTCCCACTGGATGAACTTTGTTAGCGTTGCACTCAAGGTGCTTCACCATCTTTAAATTGTGTTTCTCTAGGTTATTGGAAAAGAAAGGCAATGAAAGAAGTTTGGTCTTTTAGATCAACAGTGGTAAGGACTGCTATTACAAAGGATTTTTAAGAACTGGAGGGAGTTTCATAACCTCAGATGGTCAGCATGATTACCAGTGTATTTTAATAATGAAGTTGTTTATTAAATGTTCTCTGGAATAATACACTGTATATTCAGATACAAGTATTTTGCATTGCAATCCAATTAATTACTTTATATCATAAAAAAAATCTTAAAAGTAATCAAAGAATTGTGATTACTAGCTCCAGAGTCAATAAAATTGCTCTGTGATTGTTACAATATCAATCTTAGACCAAGAATTTTCATCAAATTTCCTCATGTCACATTTGATTTTTCATGAGACTTACATGTTTTCTATCACTTAAATGTTTTTGATATTTTTTATTGTTTGTTATAATTAGTGGTCTTAAAACCAGGCAATCAGATGTTTTTAGGAAGGTGTTTTGCCTTCCATAGAGTTATATACTCAACTAGCAAAGTCATTGACCACTGTTGGTTATTATAATGCCTTGAGAGATACTTTAATTAAATTTGCAGAGCCAATAAGACAATTTGAAGTTTGCCTTGTATTTTTAACAAAATTATCAATATAAATCTCCTCACCCTCAACTCACCAGGAAAAAAGAGAAAGAAAAAGAGCAGGACTACTTTTTATTTGGGGATATGTTAACAAATTTGTTTGGTGTGCTGCATGCAATAGTGCAATTATAGCAAGATTGATATCGAACAGATTCATTACAGATAAACATTGTTTTTCTCATTGGAAATTTTCTTTTTAAGTGGCAAAGAAAGAAAAGGGTATAAACTACAGATGATATAGACATTTTTGTGATGCTCATGGACCTCAAGGTTTCAATATTTGTCAATTTGAACATGTTATGAAGTTCAGTTTGGCATCCTGTCATGGATGATTATTGAGTTTTTATCCTGTTGACCATTTTCTTGAAGATAAAGACTATTCAGCATGGTCTTCTTGTCATCTACAACTATGCTGCTTTAATTTTAACTTTTAAATCCTTGAGTGCCATGAGGTAATTTTCTTGTCAACTCTATTTGATCACTGTAATACCTTTCCTTATGGAAATAGTATTATAAAATCACAATACTTTGATGTACAAATAAAGAGGCAGTGATTACATAGCCATGACAAAGGTCCATGGGTTTGTTACATCAGATCTCTTAGCTCGCTCTTTGTTTAAAGATGAATGGTCACAATATCAGTATGGATTCTTTCTAGCCCACGGATGTTTGCTAACTCTTGAGTGGAAATTAAAATATTTAAAACTATGTTATTTTTTATCACATTTTTCTTTTTTTGTGGAAATTTTCTATGTTAAAGAGGAGCTGGCTTGATTATACAGAGCTTTAAGTGTCTATGCTTTTTTTGTAGTTCATAGGATTCATTTAAGAGCAAATCAAGACTGTCTGCAAAGCTTTTTATTGGAGCATTTGAAGCAGAATTGAAATGGAGAAATAAAGTAATGGGGCACTCATGTAAAAGTCCTTCCATCTGCATCCCATTTCAGTCAGCAAAATGTATTTTTGTTCAGGCAAGTGAAACAATGGTATATTTACTCTTATTGAATCTACCAAATTGATATTATGAGTGAAATTAGGTGAGAGCTGACTGCCAGTTGGCAGCAAGGTCAAGGATTAGCCCTATTCAACATTAATATTATGCCATTGCTAGTGTTCCATTATCAATCTAACAATGATGTTTTACACAACAAGATCATATGAAATTACCTAAACTGCTGTGTGCAATTTATACATCTGAATGTTGTAAATTATGACAGCATTTTAACTGAAAACACATCCATTAAGTCAATTTTTCTTTTTATCAGGCTCCATTTTCTTGCCTTGCATATATTATAAGTCAAGTACCTATTATTTATAAATGCATTTGGCCATGTAACAACATATTTGACATCTTAATCACCTGAATTTTGGCTCATGCTTCTTTCAATATACTTGTAAAATATTTTTGGTGGTAATTTATTTCCTGTTGATATGTTGATTTGTTTATGACATTGCATTTAAAAGAAAGTGAATCTGACACATTTTTGCCTGGATTTGAAAATGTTATTTTTTCTCTCACTACAACGGGGAAGTTTGTGATCATTTTTCTTTTATAATAAGCCTGAAGGATTTCAATCATTTCATGAAACTTGCTGATAGCAGAATAGAAGACAGTATTTAAAACTTGCACTTAGCTTGCAAAAACTTAGATTAAATAGGTATAAGGTACATATGTTTTCTTGGACGTCAAATTGTTATTTTAATCATTGATTATTCCACTATGTGTCATTGCTTTTAAATTACCTACCCTCATTTCATGTTGCACATATACTGCTCAAGTCGTCTACACTCCTTGACATTTGTCAGATGCACTTTTAACCAGATTTCACAACTGTAATCAGCTTACCATGAAACTCTGGAACAACTTCATGACACCATATTTGGGAACCAGTTCATCCCAAATTAGAATGAGAAAAAAAAAGGCAGCACAGTTTTGTAAGATTTTGACCTGGTTTAGTTATATGTCACATGTGTTAATCAGTGAAGATGTTGAATGATAAATCCACTGGTATTTTCAGTATTGTCTCCTGGATTACATAGCAAATATTAAGATTTGTCTTTGTAATATGCAGATTGGCAATCCAACTGGAATCCATGACCGACATTGGAATGATCTTGTCAGCATGTTTTTATTGTTGATATTTTGGCTCTACTCTTGTATGTTTGGCATGTATTGTAACATGTGTCCAATAAGAAATTGGCATGTTGTTGGATTGTGTATGAGTGTATAGTGCATATGGCCAAGGTAAAGTAAATAATTTTATAATGAAACTGTTAATATTGTTAGTCAGAATATTGAACCCTTTTTTCATCCAAGAGGTAAACTAATGAGAAAGTGTGTGCATCTTGAACATTATTATGATAATAACAATAACAATTATTTCAGGTCTAAACCCCATCCACGGTGTTCAGAAATATTAAAAGTACTTTTCAATAGCAGTGGTACTGTAATTAAACATCATTCAGTATTTCTCTTACCATTGGAAAGTAAACTTCTTTTCCCTTTTTTTTTCAATCACAGTATTTCATCTCAGGATATTGCCCTTTGGTGGAAAATAAAATTATTGCCATCCCAGCCTGAAATAGTAATCATATTAGTGGTAATCAAACTTAATAATCAAATGCGTAATCATGATTGTAGTACTTTGTAGTCTGAATGCTGCCATGAAAATGTCATTTTATAAAACATTAAAAAAATAGATTGGATAGTGAAGCAGAGAGGTAGTTGAGTCCCCTGAAGCCAACAGTTGGTGCCATAAGTGATGCTGTTTGCAATAAAAAGTATTTGAAGTATAAAAACCAATTCCAATCACTCAGAGCAAAGTCAATCAATATCCTTTGGGTAGGGACCAACAGGGAAATGCCTTGGGGATAAAACAATTAACACAAATTATCCAAAACTGGAGTAAATATGAGGGATAACATTCTGTAAACTTTTTGTAGAGATGCAGCAGAACTTGGGGAATTTAGTATATATCCACGTATGCATTCCACCAAGTGTATGATGTGTCTGCAGCTGAGTCATAAGAGTAAAACAAATCTAGGCATGGAGTGGCTTGTGGATATTTTGTTTAAATACCATAAATGCATCTCTAGATTGGT